CAGCACCAGCAGCACCAGCAGCACCACCACCACCACCACCACCACCACCACCACCACCACCACCACCACCACCACATGATGCTGCTAGTCACTTGTCCCAGCATTGACAAGGCATTGTCTGCACAAAGCAGATTCCCAAGCTCGCCCTCAGCCTGACAGGAGAGGTGTTGTCTTTCGAGCTTTAGGAACGTTCACTTCAGGATTTCCGCAATTTGAGTTTATGGTCCTGAGTTTGGGGGTTAGCGCGCTGAGGGCTCCTTCAAGGGGGACACTTCAGGTCGTGCTACGCGCGACTGGAACCTTGCTCAATGCTTCATGTCGGTTACGGATGCTCGTACTGCCATCAATTGATGCTATTGCTGCAACTTCCATTGCTGGTGCAGCCAGGATACACAAAGCAAACCCTGTACGTAGACTGAACTCTCGTCCCTCTTTAAGCCCTGCAGATTAAACTTTTGACATCAAACTGCATCAGATCGGCTATCCTGAACCCTTGAAAGTTCAGGAAGCGAGTATTATTCCCTTTTGCCTAAACCCTGGCAGCCTTATCAACCAGCGATGGTAGGCGGTAACGATCAGCTAGGCGCCGCACAGACCTTGCTGCGTCTTCAAACTAAAATTCTGCAGAGATTGCATCAAGCTCATGTTGTGCTTGGGGCGCTTTCATTCATTATGCGAGGAGGGTGTAAGCACTTGTTAGAGAAAATGTGGAAGGACGAAGTACCGCTTGCTGAGGAAGCATAGTGGCAGGATTTCCCCTGGTTTTCGGCAGAAGCATTTTCATACATAGCTCCCGATACCCCCAGCAAAAGATAGTGAACAAAACACATGTTACTAGAGTATGATGCAGGACCGTTGGGAGGTGGATTAAGGAATGACTTGGCGGTTATAAGACGTATCAGAGCGGCTTTCAGATTTAGTGAAAAACCTACATACAACTAGCCATGAGCCTCGGAGTGAAAGTGGCGCGGTCTCAGCTACCAGGCATCTTGGAGGATGTGAGTAGGACGCTTTGTGTCACAGGAACTTTCTCTTTTTCAAAGGACTGGCTGGCTGAGGGTTCTAGAAGAGGCTCATGATCAACTGTCACTTAAAAGAAACCAAGCGGGGCAGTGGCAGCCAAGCAACATCGCAAGTTGCTCGTCTCCCTGGGCATCAAACACGTCCGACATGAGGAAGATGCAAAGGGCACTCATGGAGCGACTGTCAGCATCCGAGTCCGACCGCATGTCGATTTCACTTGTCAAGGCCTCTCTCCATGTTGTCTGAGCGAACATCTCCTGAAAGTACTCGCAGCGCGCCGTCAGCAGGCGCTTATCAAAAAAGATTGGCGCCGAATCTTTCAGGAGAAACTTTACCATGACGGCTTCTTGTGACAAGTCCAGGCGCTGCAACGCAGGGTTAGCTAATGGAACAGGGAGTGGCAGCTGAGCCCAAGCCTCCAACTCAACTTGTTTGAAATTCAGCCAACCAGACTGACAATGGATCTTCTCCCAAGCAATGAAATCATGCCATCCCCTATCGCTGTGTTCCTTCGAGAAGCTCCATACATCTGATTTGCGCAGCCACCAGTCGCCCCCGGCTGTGCACCTAATGCCAATGTTGTAGTGCACACCTTTACAGGACCAGCTGTCATCTGACGGGAACTGCGTTGGCGGCAACATGTCCACGAATGCGCTGAGACAATTCTTCCCAGTAGCCACCTGCGTACTCGTGCCTCTCGGATACACCTGCGCTCACAGGGAACTACACAGCGTGTACCCCGGTGGACCAGTGCTCTTACAGATATTATGAACAACTAGATTACGGGAGCTTCAACGAGGCATGTGCGCATTTCTCAAAATCAAGTCAGGGATGCCTTACGCGCCCCGAACAGAATGTGGACAGCATTGGGACACCCCAAACAAATTATTTGTATGTTCACGTGGCGAAGCTGAAGCCGGAGTGTATTCCGTCGTTTTGGGGTCTGTCATTTGCAGGATCCCTGATGTTCCCGAAATACCAAGAAAAGACCCCCAAGACAGCGGGAAATCGTCATCACAACGCTTACTTGTTGCTAAATAGGGGGTCGGAGGCCCTGATGCTCGCGAGTTCGAGCGACTTCTGCGACGCATGCAGGGGCGTCCCAGAGAAGTCCTCGTTGACGTCTTGTACATGTTACTACCGTTGCAACCCTCGATCACCACAACTGTCTAAGCGAGGCCTCCACCAGGATTTTTTAACTGTCAGTCCATTCCTACTCTTTGACTCACAAATCAATGGGGCCTTATCTAAGCCTTAGCTCTTGTTGAAGGCCTTCAGGCGGATCTGGAAGTATCCTCGCGGGCCACTTGCGGCAGAGTAGTGGCACTGGTCCACCTGAGGTAATCTGGGCAGGGTAGGCAGCAGCCCTCCCCAAACACTATAACGCCTAATTCAAGATTGCTTGGGGCTTACTAACTTGGTGGTTCCAACAAGCAAGATCCCTCCCCAACAAGACGTAACGAGAGGCCAAATCTGCGTTGAAACTCCCTGCATCACCCAGCAAGCAATGCCACAAAAGCCTCAATTACGCCTACAACCTGAACCAGAATCCCGGATCCCAAAACTAGACCTCAAATAGCACCTCCAGAAACCCTGAGCCCGAAACCCTGAACTACTGAACCCCAAGCCACGTCGAACTCGCCCAAATTGCCCAGCAACGTCTTCACCTTGAACCTGAGCAGAGCAACTCCTCAAAAGCAGGAAATGCAAAAAGTCCTGTTGGATCTAGATGAAGCAGGCCATGCGGGGGACAGACAGCATGAGGGTGGATCAAAAATCCTTCCACAAGAAATGGACAAATTGTGCAAGTAGTTGGGCTGTGACACGTTCCCGCCTGCGTAGCTTCGTGCACATCTTCGGGGATTGGTAGGGGGAAGGGGGTGTGGTTTCATTCTTGTTGAAAGCCTCAAAGCCTGCGCAGATAATCTTCAAAGCCTGAGAACAAGTAATTACATATCAGACACGCACTGCAGCGCCCCTCTTCTTCACAGCGTGCAGAAAGGGGTTGTTCTGAAGGTTCTCTTCAAGGAGGGCTTTCTTTGTGGCCGTTTTGGGGACCATAATATTGAACAGCTGCCATATGTTCTTGAAGCGTTCATGCTGACCTCCGAAGCTGACATCCATGAGAGCAAAAGATGGAGCAGGGACACTTCGTAAAGAAGATACAGGCATACATGACGTATGTTTGGTGCTAGCTGCTGGCACTGCGCGGATGACGCAGGTTTCCTGTCTGCCCGGGCTCTGTCGGGGAACACCGCTGCATGAGCTGGAGAGCATGCTTTGTAGTCATCCTTCTGCAAGTTGAAACTGGGGCAGTCTCTTGACAGGGCATGGTTGTCAAGGGGTTCATGAGGCCAAAGGCACAAAGACTGGAACGTTGTCCCCTCCAGACTTCTCAGCCGGAAGCCACCACTCCAAAGGTCAAAAAATCTCGTGAAATTATACCTAAGTAAACCGCACTGAGACGTACGGGAATTTCGTAATAAAATGAGAAGCTGTCAGCCGCAGGCCTTGCAAAGAGGTGCCTTCAACAGCCTTTGATGCGGAGACGAGAAAAAAATAGTCAAAACTGATTACTGTGGTCTTTCAACCTGATACTTGTTGTAGTTTTCAAATCCCACGCCTGCTATGGTAGTTGTCCGCAAGACACTCATGCACAATCCCCTTCCCGTACCACGGTCGGGAACGTGCCGCGCACCAAGAAGCTTCCTTTCGCATCTTCTGTCGCCAAAAAAATCTTGAAACACATCTCAGGCTTCTAGTATCTACCACTTCTACCTTCGAGACCCACATGCGAAGAAATCCAAGCTTTGGAGAAGTCTGATTCCTGCAGGGAAATGGTTTCTAAACTCTCTTTGGACATAACTTGTTCGCCAACTGTGTCTCACATCTTACGCAGGCTACTGACTTTCGGCCATCCCTGACCTTTCGCATCTTTTCGCGACGTCTTTCATGACGCTTTGTGCGAGACTGTCACGCAATTCTTGGGCAATGCCCCATGACATGCAATGGCCGCCTCAAGTCCCAGACCAAAATTGGTACGCGGCGAGGCAAGCTCATTTTCTCCCCTGTGCCCCCAATATGAGTTTGGGTGACAGGAAGGTGGTTCTTTCGGTTTGGGGCCTGAAAGAGGGCCGTAGCCAGACTAGAAACAAGCAGTGGGTTGGTACCACGCTGCTACTTGTGGTAGAAAGTCACCTGTGGATTATAAGGCATTTTGGGGTGAAGGGCCAAGTTTTCGGAGGCAATGCTCATATATGTGCGGCCACCGTTGGAATTGCGCCTGGATTCTGTAGCGCTGTGGCGATTCTGAAGGTTGCGATGTGGCATGCATACTCTGAATCAAGCTAGGGGCATGCATAGGTTTAGGGCAAAGTTGCAAATTCATTCATATGAGCCGTAGGCTAAAATCCTAGTATCCCCCTTAAGAACCACTATCATAATCCCCTATATAAAAAATCCCCTTATAACCCCTCTTAGGGTTCAGACTATAGAGTAGGGATCCTGACTCAGGGTTGAGCGATTAGAGTGTAGGCTCACGGTCGATGGTCAGGATTAGGACCAAGAAAACTCCAATATTTGGGTTGTTCTCAGAATTGATGCCCCCTTTTGGTTATAGATTATATTACGGCACCTAATAGTTCGGGTACCCAATTGGGACCCTAATTCTGGGAACTACCCATATTATGCAGAAATGGCACGAATAGACTTCAGTTTCTTGAGATTGCATGAAGGATATGTGATGAGGCTGTAGACTCATGCTCCGTTGAAATTTACTATCGGACGGTGAAGAAATTCAAATCGCTTGGGGCATATTGGCATGCTCTATCCAGGCAGCCTGTATACGGATTCAGTGGGGCCAGGGTCGAGGGCTTATGGTATTTTCTGGTACAGGGTTCCGTCCAACTTCTAAGCAGGCCAAGATGCCATGCCTTGTCTTGCCTGAACTCGGACAGCACGGAAGGACTCGCCATAGCAGCACGCAACAAGCAACAAGATCCGAACCGTGGCCTCAGGACCTCATCTGCAAACTAGCCATGATGCTAAAATGGTTTAGGGTTTAGGGCAAAACCCAACCTCAAACAGTTTTGCCTGTTTTCCTGTTAGACCACAAGACTCAAGAGCCTGCCAGGCTTTGAGCCAGAAGTCTCTGGCCTGTGTTTCGGTTTGGACCCTACCAACCTTGACAAAAGGTAGTTCCACAAATGGGGGGACCCCAAGATAGACACAGCAAAAGAAATAAATCCTTATTATAGCAACCCCCCAAAAACCGACCCTCTAATTTTGGTAACCCCCTAAAATCCCCTAAACATGGGCTTAAGATCCTGCGCAGATTTGAGGCCTTGCCTCGCTCCATGAGAACAGAATAAATACACCCATGCCTTTGGGCCTTAAACAAGTTTAACAGGGAGGGCTAGGGAATGAGTGTGGCCTAGGGTGAAGCTCCAACAGCAGACTTTGAGTATATCTAGACCAAATGAGCAGTATGGACTTTAGGCAAACCAGCCGGGATGCGCAGATGCATACTGAATAATAATGTTGAGGTTTATTCATTTGAGGTACCCTATACCATAGGCGTATAAGGAACCTGTGACCATATTGTTCAGGCTTCTACATTACTCTGCAGGCATCTGGTAGGGTTTTTCTTCCTTGCTCAATTGCGAACCCAGTTTAAGCTTGCATCGTGAAATCGCACTGAAACCATTTGTTCTTGCTGACCTCGCCATGTATTGCCCAGAGCAAACAGCCTGAATAGGAAACGGGGACTATGATGCTTTAAATGCTTTAGGCTTTAGATTTTAATAAAGTCAGACGTCCTGCTTTTGCATGATGGCTACAGTTACATCGCCATCTCTGAACACTCTCCCTGTCATTTGTCCGGATAAGTAGTTTCTAAAGCTCCGCTTGAGAGAACACTTGTTACCAGTGTTCTTTCAACCCCGAAGCTGAAAACCTTCCCAATTGAGTACTGCAAACATCACAATCAATATCCTTACTGGCCTGAGTGTCTCAACCTGACCTCGTTCACAAAATGCCACTCAGCATGATACGGAAAACTGTGACAATAAGAGCCACGAAACTCATCAAGGCCTACTCCCCATAATGGGTTGTACAATCCTTGAGCATCTAGTTCGACAACCTGTGCGCATGTCATATCTTATTGGATGCCGGTTCCCTGCTTTCAAAGCGCAAGTCTTATCAAGGAAGTACAACGAGCAAAGGATGAATTGAAATGGGATTCAACATCCATTTTTCTAGCATCATACAAGGAGATTTCTGAGAATCTTCCGCTTAAAGCGTCAGGGAGACGAGACTTACTAAGTCTGGTAAGCATGAC